ACAAGTTTAATTGTGGCCGGGGCCGATGATTGCCGCCGATTAGTTCGCGAAGGATTCAATTGGAACAGATCCACGGTCTGAAACAATTGATCCACGCGACCTCCAGATGACCCCGTCGCCTTTCTTTTCTCCCTACTGACTATGTAGCCTCATGGTCGACGGATTGTTCGTGAGCGACTACCACTGCCACTACCACATGCTTCTCGATTCTACCTGGAAGACAATATGCTGAGCTGGAGGTTCCTGCTCCTGTCAACATTGCATGCCCGCACAGACGCTCGTCATGGAAAAAGGCGCAATCAGTCACGATAAAAGCCGCGGACCTGCTTATACATGCTCTCCTTCTAATCTTTCTACAAGCCTTGGGCCATTTCCGTCTTTCCGTCGCATTGTTTCTTCATCACAACCGGAACCCTTCGTCTCGGCCTTGCTTGCCATCTACGTCTTCGCGTCTCCTTACACTATGCCTCTCTACTGCTTGCTGCAATATAGGTCCTACTCCGACTCCATACTGCTCCATCGCTATGTTCACAGGAACCCCAGTTCCGAGTTTCACGGATAAATCGGCCCATAATTCGGATCAGCCGTGCCGTGCCGCCTACTTGCAGTTGCCGCAAGAAAGCCACGGCATCATTGACTCTCCTACTTTTTTCTAGGCATTCAGGACTACACCACTCGGCACGTCGGCATCGGCACCCCTGTCCTATTGATGCCAAGTGCTCTCGGCGGTCAAGAGAATTCTCAACGATCCGGATGCGGGAAAACATCTGTTTCAGGTTCGACGATCAACGATCCCTAGTTTCCTTCGCCAGACCGTAGAGGAGGGAAAGCGGCGGTGATCGCACGAGAATCGGCCGGAGAGTTGTATAGGGGCGGAAAAAGACGGGAAGACTCAGAGAGACTCAGCTTGAGACGGTTGGACTAGTGGTAGGAGGATAGGAGCCTGGGTTGTAAAGGCAAATGTGACAAAGTCCGAACATGTGGTTGTGGCTGACGGCTTTGACTGGCGATGGTTGTGGCAGCAAGCAGGAAATCTTGTAGGTAGGGTGTTTTTGATGCCCGTGTTCTAACGCAGTCGAATGGCAAATGGCATGGAAATGCCTCGAGCTCCAATAGATTCCTGGCCTCAAGTTTGTTTTAGTTTCCGAGATAAATAACTTTTCACGATACGCGAATTTTCAAAAGCCAAAGCGAAACTCTCCGAAATGTGCTTAGTCGACAGCATCATGGACCAGCCACACCAGAGAGCTCAGATCTGCTTTGCTCTCTCTCGCTCTGCTGTTGTAGGCCCACGACTTCAGTCTTCTTCTTGCGATGCCTATTCGCTACACCATCTAGCAGACCGAGACACCAAGCTTTGAAAGTCAAGGCCATTGACGAGACGCGCGCCTTGGACCTCTCCACGCACCGGCAAGTCGAGGGATGCCTGCTGGGCCCGGATTTCGAGAAGGACACTCGGGCCCTTCGGAGATCGCGAGCTGGTTGCGCTAAGCTTGTCTCCAGATAGTCTATTCGTACTACATTGCCGAAGACAACCAGATACCAATCAGACTAATAAAAATGCCGTCGATGGCTTTGTGGACGCTGAGAAGCGACATGTCCTGAGACCCGCTGCGTCGGTCTCCAAGCTCTACGCTAGCGACTCCGCTACTAACTCCACCGACGACTCTACCACCAACTTTACTGCCGACTTTACTGCCGACTTCGCTATCAAGGTGCTACGCAGCACGCCGAAGAAAAAAGACTCCTCAAATGCGCAGTACAAAGACTGTCAAACGAAAACAAAATCCGTCAAAGCTCGAAGCTTCCGAGCCCACGGTCCAGAATCCTCTTAATCTTCTAGAGCGACCCAGACAGTTCCAGCTCACAAAGGTGCCAGTGGCAAGGTCATCCCGTTGGAAGAAGGAGAGTGGATCAGTTGTCGGACTCGCAAGTAGCCCTTCAAAGAACAGTCCCGCCGTGACTGCCAATGTCCATTGGACGAGCACTTCGAAGCGCGCCATCACAAAGATACCTCGGACCACAAAGCATGGAGTGTCATGGCGCTTGATGAGGAGTCAATCAACAAGAGATTGCGTGTTATGAGTTACTAGTTCTCCTCGGGGCCCAACACGCGACACGGTCGCCAGGTTGAGGAGCGATTTCAAGGCGAATTGGACTGAAAACGTAGAAGGATAAACTCGGGTTCTGTGATGGAGAACGAACGGCATGGCGAGCTAGGAGGATGCGCTTTATCAGTGAATCTTTAGCTGATGCTTAAGGCGCTGTTGCGGTGGCCTGGACCATCAACGGGGCACCAGGCCCGAGCAAACCAGGAGATTGGAAGCCTTACCGTTGTCCCAGACGCAAAGTCAGTTCAATTTCTGTCCTGAAGGCGGTGCTCCTATCGAGAAGCGGCAGTGCAACGTAGTTCTTTGCGGGGTGAGGACAGTCAGATAGCTGAAAATGACGTAGGCCAGAGTAAACCTCAAGAAAGCGATCACACTATTTTTAGAATTAGAAGTAGTTGTGGCTTATTCAAGTTTACAGGCAGGGCAATAGTAAAACGTCCATTATGGAGTGAAAACCTGAGCTCCCAAGGACGGTGGTCCGGGGCAATCTGGCCTGCTTACGCACCAAATAAGTAGTGAATGACGGATGTTCGCAACACTGGAGGCGCAATTGAAGCACGTTGGCTGGCTCGTGTTGGCTCTGCCAGGCTAGGAGATTGCACAACTACATAATGCGTTGCTGGGATATCTAGAAGTGAATTGATTAAGCGCCGTCGTAAAAGCTGGGACTCCAAGGCTTGCCCACAAGGCAGCACTGCTCCTCCCAGCAACGAAGCTGACTGGCGGCAGATCAACAAGCCAACTGACAGGGATGTGCAAGATAGTGCGCTGTTTTGGGACAGTAATAGATAAAATAAGCTACTGATTCTCAAATATGGCTTGTCACTGTTGATAGGCCCTTTTAGCTGCAAAAACGACACGCTCCTGAACGTTAGCTTGCTGCCGTCAGTCATTCACTAGCGCCCCCCATTCACTGATCTCTCACATAAATAAACCTCCTCCCCCACAAGCTAACTCCCCGGGCCCCGAACTTTTTTCAAATTCACATCCACGCGCCCAAACTCCAACTCCAACACCACCACCACCACCACCACCACCACCACACTACCACCAACACCACAATGGCTGTCGAGGAGTACAAACTCCCGACCCCCGGAGCTCTCAAGCTCAAGGGCGGTGGCGGAGCCGTCGAGAAGAAGCGAAAGGCCAAGAAGAAGGCCGAGGTGCCCAAGCGCGACGAGCCCGCCGAGGGCAAGAAGGACGCCGCCACCACCAGCAAACGCGTCTACGATGTCTCCGGCGGCAAGGCCTTTGAAGAGGGTATGACTGCTGCGATGGCTGGTGCTGGGGAGGGGAAGAAGAAGCCCGCCAAGGACAAGCAGAGCGAGGACTTCGAGTCCCGGGCCTTCGTCGCCTACAGCGAGCGCGGACGGATGGAAGCAGAGATCCGCTTCGCGGAGCACAGGCGTAAGCACGTGAGTTATATTCCTCTGTGCTTTGTTCGTGAGTGACGGTGGCTAACGTTGGCTGTTTCTCCTAGCTCGGCCGGCACATGGAGCGTGAGGGCCGCGGAAGGACGCACGCGGAGAAGGTCGTGGGCTTGAACAAGGCCTTGAGCAAGCGCAGCGACCACTACGACATCTAGTCGTAGTACGACTTGTAAGTTGTAACCCTTTTATCTCTTATTGTTGAGCAGCGAAGCCACTGAGAGCCTACAGCCCCTTCCGCCCACCGACCGCAGCCCCGCCGCCACCTTGCCTCGCTGATCAAAAGCCGGGGCGGATCATGGGTTTTGACGTTTACGACAAGGATGGTTTTGGAGGCCGGATGGCACAACCTATGGCACCCCCGCGTCTGCTTCATGTAGTTTACATCTGCTTTGCGCGAGCACACTCTTGCCACCCGATGTGCAAGCGCCCCAGACTGGCAGACCGGATTAGATACAGTTGGAACAAATGACCACTCAGCATCTTCGGGAGCGGATTGATGTGACATGGCTTTCACGGTGGTGCGGACATATAACTTGGTGAAGAACATGCAGTAATGCCAGAAACAGATAGCCAAAAGTGCTGTTTTACCCTCTTGACTTCGCACTCACGCACTGTTCGTAAAATGTTCTAGTATACTTATATCATCTCGTCTTCGTGCCTATATAGGACATCCTCGTGCTCTTGTATGTTGTTATCTTCGTACTAATATAGAATACCCTCGCGTTCTTATACAACCTCTTCCTGGTATCCTCATAAATCCCCTCCGCCTCTTGTATCTTTATATTCCTATACCCTCGTAAGATCCTTTCGGACTCTTGCATAACCTCATCCTTGTGCTCTCACGAATACCCTCTGTCTATTGTATTTATCTGCCACTGTACCATTATAAGATGCATTCGCGCTTTTGTGTAGTCTGATTCTTAAAACCCTTACGAATCCTCTCTACATCTTGTATATCTCTGTTACTATGCCCTTATAAGAGGCTTTCGCGCCCTTATGAATTATTTTCTTATACCATTGCAAATACTCTTCGGCACTGGCTTCTGTTTATCTTCATATCTACCTAAAAACTACCAGCCGCCGTGTTATAGCCTATTA